AATCGCCGCAACCCCAAGACAGCCACTGTCATGACCGATACTTCGTCTCCGGTTCCGAAAAGGATCAAGACGAGCAAACACCACGGCGACGTTCTCTCGAGAGACCTGCCGGACTTTGCCGCGAAAGAAGTCACGGTGTTGCAGAGTCTGACGAGTCTGACGCCGTTTTCGGACGTGCTGCATGACGTACAGTCGTACGGAAATCTGCTAACGCAACCTCACGTGGCGAACGTGGTCATCGAGGGCTACAACAACCCCGAAAACGCCTACTATCAACTCTCATCGTTCACCGTCTTAAGCCCTTCGTTCGTGGGAGAGGGTGAAATCAAGATGATAGACGTGATGTTGACCGAATTGGACGACGGTGCCGTGTGGGACGTTTCCATAGCCCTCACGGACGATTCGGACGCCATGCTGGCCATGGCCACCACAGTCGACAGAATGCCGGCACGCGACGTTTACCTGTATTCGCCGTGTCAGTACGCACAGTCTCGCAAGCTAAAACGCTCCTACAAGTACGGAAACAATCTGGAAAGCGAGAGGCCGGAAGAGGCTCCAGTGGTGACGGTGCATCTCGTGGACAATCCGGCACCGTGTCGCGAGCGAGGTTATTATCACCTGCGGGAAGATTTCTTCGGTCGCTTTTTGGGCGGAGTCAAATATCCGTCTCCGATGTGTTACGTCGTACCGTAGCTTTTGTACGGCGGCTTCGAAATGTTGCCGGTCGTGATAAGTGCCAAAATGCAGGTTTCGAAAAACGTAAACATGATTAGCGGCATGTTAACTGCCACGCGCGAATGCACGGAATTCCTGGACGTTTTGCGCGCGACGCTTCGAACGCTAGTCGGTGACGAGAGGGCGGCTACGAAGCGTCGTCGCGGCCAACAAAACAAGCGATGGAAGGCGGCTAGAGTCGGTGAAATGGTAAAGAAATGGTCGGAACGCTACGTCAAGTTACTCTATTGGGTGACGCTGTACACGTGCTACGACGATAGGCTCGCGTGGTACGTGCCGCCGACGGACTTCATGTCCAAAAAAGGGGACATGTGGCAGCGACGAGTGTCGATCTTGTCCGTGGAAGACCTCGTGCGCTTCCTCGATTCTGGTGAAGAGAATCGAATCGAAGGGCATTTCGGCCGAACCACACGCGTACTCGTCGTCCGTCGCCGACGCAGTCCGCGTCCTAAATGGCATGTTCTTAATGGGCGCCGTGCAATACGAAACGAACTACGCAAACTGGGAGAACTTGGAAGCCGTGTGTGCTGCGTACAAACACTATCGCGACAATTGCCTGTGCGTGCTGGCGGAAGAAGCGGACCCGCGCAAAGCATGCTCGTTATTTCTCGAGAGTTCGGAATGGGCGCGCATGTTCACCACGAACGCGCTGCGCCGTTGTTACGAACTCACGAGAAAGCGACTCGCCACCGTGCGAATTGACGAGTTTCAGACAATAATGCAAAGCCTGGATAGCAAGCAAGCGGAAGCGGAATTTTTATTTGCATAGTGGTTTGCCGGAAGCGTAGTATTTGACGGAATAAATACCGTACGTGGAATTGACGGGTGTGCGTGCAATGTCGATGTAATAAAAGAAATCCACCAAACGAGACACCACGAGGTTGTGTAAATACATCCAATGTTTTTCGCAGTATAAGTTCTGGGAAAGGTACTGTCCGTTTTCCTTCGGTTTGAGTTTGCTCACCAGAACGGTCAACGGAACGAGTACCTCGTACAAACCTCGATAACATAACGGACTGTCTCCTGGATGAACGTCGCGTCCGTTCTCGGCGTCTTCGTCATCCATGGGTACGTTGATGCCGCCGTTGACGTAATCGGAAATCACTCGGTCGACGAAGTGCAGCACGTCCTTGTTGGCGCCTGGTTGTTTGCGTACGTACAGGTACACGTGGTTCTTGGTGCAGATGACGTCGTGAACGCGTAGCGTTTTCGTCACGTTAAGAAAATTCACAACGTCCACCACAATCGAATTGACAACGGGCGCCTTGTACGTGAACACGACGTTAAAGGCGGTGCCACAGTCGTCGTCTTTGGTGGTCGTTCTCGTACTGAAATATTTTGCGATGCATATCCATAGTTTTGTCGGTATGGACACGCTCAAATCAAGGTGCGTCTGTAAATAATCGCTCAGAGCGGGTTTGCTCTCTTCGGCCAACGGTACGCGTCTTAACATCTCGTCCGTACAAGTGGAAATAATTGGTTACCGGGACGTTTGGTCCGTCTACCAGAGTTTTTATTGTCCCACGACATGTTGTCAGTATTTGGGGTTAATCATTAACGGCGCTACCATAGTCGACACTTGTTCCATGTTTCGTTTTAAGGCGTCTCGAGCCGAAGTACTCATCGAGTCGGCGCTATCGCAAATAAGTATCTTGAGAAAATCCGAATTGAGCGGGATCATCACGCGAATGTCGTCGGCGATCGTCCAGCGACATCTCGACAGGAAAATGCGCAGAGCGGTATTAGAAACGAACTGGTTGCATAGAAACACGTCTCTGGTCACGATGGATTGCATGTTGGGTGCTGATTTCAGCATGGAGTCCACAGTCCACAAGTTTGTTACGTCCCAAGTGTCCACGACGTAGCCTTGGTTGATTCGCGCCGTCGTTTGATATTGTGTCGAGTCGATTCTTTCGGCCATTTTTAACGCCGATGCGAATTTGTCGTCGCGCATGCGATCGTACGCCACAGACATGTACACGTGTATGGGGAGTGGAAGGTCGTTGCCGTCGGCGCCTTGCGCTTTGCCAGCCATGGTCGAAGGGTCCAGATGAGGCAGGGCGCTAGTTATGCGCGAATAAAGGTTTCTTCCGTAATAACTCAAGAGCACTTCTTCGGTGAATTGGTTGTATATGCGCGAATTAGACAAGTCGTAGCATGACGAACCGTCGGGTACCGACCGTTTTCTTCGTCTACGGCGGTCTTGGCTATCATGAATTTGATCAGATTATTCGGTCCGTTAACCACCGCCACGGGTCGACCCAGATATCCCTTGCGATGCGCTTCGAGACAAAAATCCAACCAGTCGTAGTTGCAACATGCGTACGTAACGTTTATTGCTAGACGGCGCATCTCCGGCGTTATCTTCATGTCCTTTACTTGCTCCACAGCGTCACCGCTACCGTACACGTAGGCTGTGCGCACGGTGTTTGCCACGATCAGGTGGAATATAGACTTGTACGTATTTTTCGTGAGTATCGCGTCGACAACGTCTTCGTTAGTCGCTCCGGGGACGGCCTTCACGGCCGAGTGGAAAACCGGTATCCACACCGGGTAGACGCGAGCACGTGAAACCGATTTCGTAAGAAGCACTTTCAATGCGTCCGCGGGGCTGTAGAATAACGCCAAGATCTTGTTGTTTGTAGAGTCCCGCAGCGTGAATGATAAATCTTTCGGTCGTACCGACCACGGCTGACACGAATGCGTGGAATAAGTAGAGTTGCCCAGTGCTGGAGTTAGAAAGTTGATTTCGTGGTCCGTCGTGTGTGGCAGATTTCCAACGCCGGCTTTTGGAAACGTCGTCGAATGTGGAGTGTACAGGTAATAAAGCCAATCGTCCACGTAAGACTTGTATAGTGTGTACGCTTTGTCCAAATCGATCTTGTCAGGTACCGAAGACATGATGCTCCGTTCGTAGCCGAGGACGGCGAGGCCTCGTTTGTTGGCATCTTGGTCTTGGAAATTCGCCGCTTTCAAGCGCATAAAGGGATAGACTCGCCCACAAGCGTCCACTTGGTCAAACTCAGCCTTGACGTGAGAAGAGCCAGCTACCACCAACTCGTCGTAGCAGTTGTTGCTACCTCGGAAGACGCGATTAAAGAAGTCCATACCCTGTATCATCAGACTGTACACTCTGCGTCCAAACACCAGACGCATGGCGGTATGCGGTATGTCGCACTGTCTTCTCGTGCTGACGAACGACCAGAGAACTTCGTGTGCTTCTTCGGACGTGTGAGTGCGGCCGAACAACGCAGTGTAGATCCAATAATCTTCGGAAACGTGGCGTCCGAGAGCCTCGTCGACGACGAATGCCATGGCCACTCCGAACGTGAATGCCGACACGTCGATCTTTTGCGACTTGACGTCCGCGTCGTAAAGTGATTCGCTACCGTCGAAGACGCGCTCGCTTAGTTCTTTGGCGTAATATAGGTTCTTGTTCTTCACGCCACCGGAGATCATCTTCTCCCAGAACAGACCGTTGGCCAGCGACCGACAGGCGGGATACGTGCCGGTGGCGCTTGATACGGACCACGGGTTGCGATCGGAGACGTCGACGCGGTTGTATAACGAATAGAAGTAGTCCAGGGTGCAGAGAATTTTTGCTGTCGGCGTCCGCGATATACACGTAACCACCGCCGCGACCGTCCGTGTCTTTTCGAACGATCAGTTGTTGCGGAACGATCGCGTGTTCTTGAGGTTCTAGTAGGTAAAAGTCGGCGTCCGCCGACAATTCGTGCGGAAAAAGCGGTCTGTGTTTATCGTGGCGGCGGATGGGGAGGGGCGACTTTCTCAAAACGAAGCATATCCGCTTCGCTCCCAATTTGTTATCTATATCGAGATATAGAGGTTCGTTGCCATTGAGTGAGGGATTGGCCTTAGGAACGCTTGATCATCGTAGTCACCACCCCTTTCGTATGAAACGAGGGGTGCGACGTCGAGGGTGGAGGACACGTTTATCGAGTACATAACGCATCTGCCGACTACTGTGGGGATCAGTCCGTGCGGGTTTTATTTGGCGAACGCTTTCGAGACATGGCTCCGACGCTACGTTCCCGTGCTCGCATCGGTTGGCTTCCGGCCGAAATGCTCCAAAAAGTGTTCGAGTATCTAGACGACCGTTCCAAGTGCCGAGTTTCGTGTGTGTGCCGTGCCTGGCGCGACATCGTCTACGCTCACCGTAAGAACGACGTCGTCTTCATTCGAACCATCAACAGTGTGATTCGTAACTACAAGTTTTTCGTGAAGAACGAAGTACATAAGTTCAAGTTCGTCGACGATGGCGTGGATGGCACCAGTCACATTGGCATCATGTATTTCGCCATGTACGTGAAAATATTGCATTTGGACTTGAGCGACAGCATGGCTCTTGACGACACCAAGTTCAAGAAAATCGGATATCTCACCAAACTCAAATGGCTCAGTCTGGATCGTTGTACGGAAATCAGCTCCAGCTCATTCGAGATCATGTATCGCTGGTTGATTAAAGGGATTGTCCGGTCGAAACCGAAAGTACTTAAGTTCTTGCGCTCGTCACGTCGAGGGAGCCTTCATATAGACAAACGTCATTTTTATTTTGATATATGATCTCCCGTTATTAAGTAAACCTTTCATGATCCTATGTACGAAACTGCACCCCGAATTTCGCCAGTGTCAATGGCTGACATCCGTAGGTGCTGCGTGACGTCACAAAACGCAAAGGTTTGTCGGATGGTCGGGATAACAAGCGTTGGTCGATGGATGTTTTGTATTTTGTTTCGAATTATATAGTCTCCTAGGCACTACCCTACTAAAATACGGTTCTTTTAATGCAGTTCCCAAGCACGTGCAAAAAAAGTCACGCCTTTTAGCGGGATGTTACTCGCAGAGAGCCATAAGCTTCGAGCAAACGTATGCCGTTTCGAGCAAACACAACTGCGACGGACGCCGATCGAACTAGGGGCGCTTGCAAAGCAAAAGATGCAGATTTCGCCTCTGAAGCGGCACTTAGGTACACGAAGCGGCATCTGGGAACACCTTTCGGCGGATCCACTGGATCGGTGATGAGGCTGCGGGTCATTCCCTCAGTGGCGACGTCCGCGGGTCGAAGGCAAACGGCGAACCGTTCAAATGCATGTCGGACTCGTCACTTGACTTGGACGAGCTTGATGAATCGTAGCTACGCTCCATTTTCACACGCGGGTCAAACAGATATCGGGCTGCACGCGTGCTAAATACAACCTCTGGTATCATTTCGAGATGGCCAAGCTGTTGGTTTCGGTTTCGCTGCATAATCAAGGTCTGTTCGATTCGGCCAGGAAGTTCTGAACTATAGTCGGTTACAAGTCAAGAAGGTAGTGGCAAATGCCCCTCAAAGGGAATCTTTGCACTTCGACGATAGGTTCGCGGCATCAGGATGATTTTGCGTCGGGAGTCACTGGCGGCAGCGCGCGGTCGGTATACTGGTCACCTCGAAGGCGAAGGCCTGACGATAGCGTACGTCTTGGCCAAGACAATTATCGACCGTAACTTTGGCGTCAAGTTAAAGCGAGAATCGGCAAAAAAATACCGATTCTCGGTGTTTTTCCCAGGCCCGTTAGTGGGCGTCCACAGATACCAGCGGACAAAGCATGCAGTATTATGCTCAGCTACGGGGACATGCGAGTGCCAACGCACTAAATCCCGGACCTCTGCAATGAATCGGAGTCGTCAATATGCATCCAAGAGCAACTGAAGGCGGAGACTATCAAGAGGGCAATAGCTTTCCCGTGTCTGTAAGTAAGAATATCAACACTGTGGATCCCAACATAGCATCAAAAAGAAACAATTTACGTGAGCCAATATTTCAACACTCACCACAGGGAGCCAAACCTACGCGAGCAGGTGCCTAAAACGCTTTTAGAATATAATAATCAAGCAAATTCCTTCCCTCGGTTAGGATCTCAATTCCGCGTCCACCGCGGGTACGTTATTATCATAAATGAGAGGAAATGCAACCTCCGTATGGGCGTTATTGTTAAACATCGCAGACATTTGAGCAAGCGCTGCGAAAAATGGCACCGCGAGCAGAGGCGGACGAGGAGTTCTGCTATCGCCGTCTGCTCTTGCCGTCTGCTTCTGCACGGACGCTGAACCGAGTCCGGAGCCGGTGCAAGGTTTTGAGGAACTGGGTCTGAACTCGTTCAGAACTGGGATGAATCGGACGCGCCAGTGCAGTGGTCGTGCAACTTACGGTTGAATCGAATGCACCAGTTCCTGCACCTCCGAACTAGTTCAGCCAGTTCAGGCGAATCGAACAGACCTAAATTGACTGATCCGATTTGGGCGAGGAGTGGGTGGACGTAGTTTAATATCGTTGGCACAGCATCACACCTCAGCTTACAAGCAGTCTGTCCGCTGAGAGCTCAGCTCGTAGCTTTCTTCTGTGAGATGAATGCTGCATAAACAGGATCTCGATCTGGACGGGAACCCAGTCCCTACGCACGACGACGATCCACTTTGCTCGTCACTGCACGTCTCGCGGAAAAGTGTGGAACGTCATGTCTTGGCTCGCATATGCTGCCCGGTGGTTGTGGCACCCAACCGCGCAACAAAAATCTCACCCAACCACGAAACAAGTCGAGCACAACAACAAAAACGAAGCACGCTGAAGCGTTCACTCGCAGGCAAACAACGAGACAAAAATGCTCGCTTTGTGTTTTGTGACGTCAGAGCTTCAATGTTGCCAACGAAAGAAGCGTTTACGCTAGAATGCGATATGAGCACTATAAATTCAATTACTCACGCAGAGGGGCATATAAAATTCGGATATTGCACGTACGATGCTTCTCGAGGCAATAACAATGATATCCAATTGTTTTTTCGAATACAAAATTTGACCGGACAATCCCTTTAATCTGGAACATCTGAGTGTGCGTTACACCAACATCACGCGGTCTGTTCTATGCGATATGGCGAACAGACTCAAGAAGCTACAGTACCTGGACATTGGATACTGCCCGGATTTGGACGAAGTCGATCTACGGTACATCGCGGAATTCTTCGTTACTCTGAAGACCTTGATCGTGGACGGACTGGGGGGTGTGACAGACGTGGTCCTCTTTCTCGCGTTCACCCACATACCGCATCTGAAGAAGTTATCGGCACAGAACTGCGAGTCGGTTTACGGTCACGTCACCACACACTGTCCCGAAACTCTCGAGATCTTGGACATACGCAAATGTGGAGGCAGATACGAACCGAACACTACCATCTTCAACGGTATCAACCGGCGTCGCGACGGTAGCCTTCTTGTGCGTTTTACGACGCCTTCTGACAGTGACGTCAACATCAGAGTATGAGAACTTATCACGCGGTGGTTGTTAATTTTGACCTGTTCATATGGTTTTATCTGATACGGTTTGTCTTGTTTGATACGGCTATACTCCCCAGTGAGATTATAATAAACACTTTTATCTGATACATTGTGTCCTGTGATAATTTAGCACGTGGTGGTCGACATTTATCGGACACGTGATGTATTATGTGAGAGAAGTCTCCACCCACCAGACTATATAAGGTCTAGTACACGACTAGTTTTCTACTTACAAACATGGCTCCGACGCTACGCTCCCGTACTCGGATCGACTCTCTTCCGAACGAAGTTTTGGAAAAAGTGTTTGTGAATTTGGACGACGCCTCTAAGTGCAAAGCTTCTTGCGTCTGTTCGAAATGGCGCGATGTCATCTACGCTCGCCGGAAGAACGACGTCGTCTGCATTCGCAACATCGAGAAAGTTCGTCAGTGCGTTTCTTTTTTCGTGCGGAATCGCGTGCAAAAGTATAAGTTGCGCTACCAGACCCTTTCGGAACTTCACAAAACCGTCAGTGTCATGAATCTCAACACTCGTGTAAAAATAGTGCATTTGGACCTGAGCGGTAGCACCTGCGTAATCGATACCGCATTCAAGAAGAGTTTCGCCCGTTTGACTTCACTCAAATGGCTCTCTCTAGATGGCTGTACGGGAATCGACTTACACGGTTTGAGGTACGTACTGGAAAAAATGGTGAAACTCGAACATTTGAGTCTGAAGCACGGCAACGTCACATTCGGTGTCCTGATTTATATGCCGCGCATGAATTTACAATATCTGGACCTGAGCTATTGTCAGTTTCTGGACAATTACTCCGTGCAATACCCCGTGTGTTGTTTCCTTAATCTGAAGACTTTGATCCTTGACGGAGTGCAGGACGTGTCGGACGAAGTAATCGAAATGGCGTTTATTTATTTGTCTTGTTTGGAGACTCTTTCTGTGCGGAATTGCAAATTGGTTAAAGGCATCGTCAAGACCCCCTGTCCGGTCGGTTTCAAACTCCTGGACATACGTGGATGTGATGGTAGACACGAAATCGATACCACTATATTTGACGCCATCAACTCTCGCCGTGACGGGAGTGTCTTAGTGCGTTTCACGACGCCGATTGACAGTGACGTTAGCATATGAATATAATAAATGGTGGTGTTGGAACCATGACACGTGATGGAGAAGGCTCCACCCACCAGACTATATAAGGTGGTTGTGTCGAAATTTCTTGCAGACATGGCTCCGACGCTACGCTCCCGCACTCGGATCGACTCTCTTCCGAACGAAGTTTTGGAAAAAGTATTTGTGAATTTGGACGACGCCTCTAAGTGCAAAGCTTCTCGTGTCTGTTCGAAATGGCGCGATGTCATCTACGCTCGCCGGAAGAACGACGTCGTCTGCATTCGCAACATCGAGAAAGTTCGTCAGTGTGTTTCTTTTTTCGTGCGGAATCACGTGCAAAAGTATAAGTTGCGCTATCGGAACCTTTCAAAACTGTACACCACCACCAACGTCATGAGTCTGGACACTTGTGTGAAAATAGTCCATCTGGACTTGAGCGGTAGCACCTGTTTAAGTAATTCTGCAGTCAAGGAGACTGTTGCCCCCCTGACTGCCTTAAAATGGCTTTCTCTAGATGGTTGTACTGGAATCGGTTCGCAAGGCTTGAAGGACGTACTGAAAAACCTGGTGCATCTGGAATATTTGAGTTTGAAGCACTCGAACATCACGCTCGGTGTCCTGATGGCTATGCCGAATGCGAATTTACAACATCTGGATCTCAGTTACTGCCAGCTTTTGAACGGGTACGAAATCTGTTATCCCTCGCGTTTCTTTTTGAATCTGAAGACTTTCATCATGGACGGAGTGCGGGCCGCATCGGAGGCGCCCATCGTATTGGCGTTCAAGTATTTGCCTCGGTTGGAGACTGTTTCTGCACGGAACTGCGAATTTATTATGGGAATCTTCGTGGACCCCTGCCCAGCCGGCTTCAAACTTTTGGACATACGTGGATGCGGTGGCGACCACGAAAAGGATACTACGATATTCGAGAAGCTGAACTCTCGTCGTGATGGAAGTGTCGTCGTGCGGTTTACGGATAAGGATGGGCGTGACGTCACCGTTCGGGTGTGATATATAAGTAGAGACGCGAGACTGGGAAGTGCTACTAGACGCGATGGATCGCCTGCCCGCGGAGTTGTTGATGTACGTGTTCCTGTTCGTCGAGTCTGGAAAGAGGGGACGGCTCGCGCTCGTCTGTCGAGGATGGAAACGCGTTTTAGATTACGCTTCCCTCTGGAAAGACGCCACAGCGTACCTCGGCAAATATAGTAAACGTCAATACCGGAGCATAGATACGCGCCATGTTTCCAAGGCCAAGTTGGTGCAAGGCTTTGATTGGACTATTCTACCGCCGCGGATGTGCGACGTGAACGTCGGGGGCCTCTACGACAACTTCGGCAGACTCCTGACCATGGATCGTCGAGTGCTGTGTAACCTGACGCGTTTGGACAACGTCACCGATGCCGACATGGTGTTCGCAACGAATAGTATGCCCAACTTGTCGTGCTTAAACGTGACGCGATGTGTGCGTCTCAGCAATTCGAGCATGGACACATTTAATTATACGCGTCTCGTCCATTTAAACATGTCGTGTTGTATACACGTTACCAACGGCGGCCTGTACAAACTATGTATACCGACCCTGCGGACTCTGCACGCGTCGCAAGTGTGGGATCTACTGCCCGCCTGTTACGCGGAGCTGTTGATATGTATGCCGGAACTGGAAGATTTGGAAATTAATTACGCAGAAGACTTTTGCGCGGACGTGTTACATAAGTTTGTGTTAACCTTAAAGAAACTCCGCGTTCTCACGCTATTCGCGTCGAGTGAGATTGATATACACAAAATAAAACTCGCGGTGCGAGATTACGATTGTAAATACAGAAAAGTGCCGCTGAAAGTTGGCGTCGCTAGTGTTGCTACCAATACGTACTACCTTTCTTGAAAGAATAAATGTGTGTTTTATTCGTCCATTCGTGGTCTCTTTGACAAATCATTTGGGGGAATTTAGGTGCGAAACGAAATGTCCGATACAAGGAGATTCGACGTTGCGTCGAATCTCCTTGTATCTCACGGCTTCTGTCAACGCGTCGTCCAGGACAGAAGAACCGCTTGCGAGGTCGCTGAGTCGCAGATGCATCCCGCTCGACTTGCGACTCGCCAGAGCCGGATTGGAATTCTCGCCGATGGTAAAATAGTATCCACGCACTCCTCCCGCCACGCAATGCCTTTCAAATTCGTTAAACGGTGACTGGGTCCACTCTCCGCCCAAAGAACGCCATCCGCCCAGGTATTTTAACAGTACGTCATCGAATGCGTTGCGGAAAGAGTTTTCGAGGACGAAATTGTCCATCGTCGTGGAGTCGGTATTGCCGCGGGAGAAGGCGTGGAGTTTTTGCAGTAAGCGTACTACGGAATATTCGGACACCTTTCCGAAATGTCCACCGAACAATCGCGAATGACCATCGTAATCCAATTCGTACACGAATCGATCCATGGCGTGCATATGCAGCCACGGTTCGTAATCTCGCAAGCTAAAACGCTCCTACAAGTACGGAAACAATCTGGAAAGCGAGAGGCCGGAAGAGGCTCCAGTGGTGACGGTGCATCTCGTGGACAATCCGGCACCGTGTCGTGAGCGAGGTTATTATCACCTGCGGGAAGATTTCTTCGGTCGCTTTTTGGGCGGAGTCAAATATCCGTCTCCGATGTGTTACGTCGTACCGTTGCTTTTGTACGGCGGCTTCGAAATGTTGCCGGTCGTGATAAGTGCCAAAATGCAGGTTTCGAAAAACGTAAACATGATTAGCGGCATGTTAACTGCCACGCGCGAATGCACGGAATTCTTGGACGTTTTGCGCGCGACGCTTCGAACGCTAGTCGGTGACGAGAAGGCGGCTACGAAGCGTCGTCGCGGCCAACAAAACAATCGATGGAAGGCGGCTAGAGTCGGTGAAATGGTAAAGAAATGGTCGGAACGCTACGTCAAGTTACTCTATTGGGTGACGCTGTACACGTGCTACGACGATAGGCTCGCGTGGTACGTGCCGCCGACGGACTTCATGTCCAAAAAAGGGGACATGTGGCAGCGACGAGTGTCGATCTTGTCCGTGGAAGACCTCGTGCGCTTCCTAGATTCTGGTGAAGAGATTCGAATCGAATCGAAGGGCATTTCGGCCGAACCACACGCGTACTCGTCGTCCGTCGCCGACGCAGTCCGCGTCCTAAATGGCATGTTCTTAATGGGCACCGTGCAATACGAAACGAACTACGCAAACTGGGAGAACTTGGAAGCCGTGTGTGCTGCGTACAAACACTATCGCGACAATTGCCTGTGCGTGCTGGCGGAAGAAGCGGACCCGCGCAAAGCATGCTCGTTATTTCTCGAGAGTTCGGAATGGGCGCGCATGTTCACCACGAACGCGCTGCGCCGTTGTTACGAACTCACGAGAAAGCGACTCGCCACCGTGCGAATTGACGAGTTTCAGACAATAATGCAAAGCCTGGATAGCAAGCAAGCGGAAGCGGAATTTTTATTTGCATAGCGGTTTGCCGGAAGCGTAGTATTTGACGGAATAAATACCGCACGTGGAATTGACGGGTGTGCGTGCAATGTCGATGTAATAAAAGAAATCCACCAAACGAGACACCACGAGGTTGTGTAAATACATCCAATGTTTTTCGCAGTATAAGTTCTGGGAAAGGTACTGTCCGTTTTCCTTCGGTTTGAGTTTGCTCACCAGAACGGTCAACGGAACGAGTACCTCGTACAAACCTCGATAACATAACGGACTGTCTCCTGGATGAACGTCGCGTCCGTTCTCGGCGTCTTCGTCATCCATGGGTACGTTGATGCCGCCGTTGACGTAATCGGAAATCACTCGGTCGACGAAGTGCAGCACGTCCTTGTTGGCGCCTGGTTGTTTGCGTACGTACAGGTACACGTGGTTCTTGGTGCAGATGACGTCGTGAACGCGTAGCGTTTTCGTCACGTTAAGAAAATTCACAACGTCCACCACAATCGAATTGACAACGGGCGCCTTGTACGTGAACACGACGTTAAAGGCGGTGCCACAGTCGTCGTCTTTGGTGGTCGTTCTCGTACTGAAATATTTTGCGATGCATATCCATAGTTTTGTCGGTATGGACACGCTCAAATCAAGGTGCGTCTGTAAATAATCGCTCAGAGCGGGTTTGCTCTCTTCGGCCAACGGTACGCGTCTTAACATCTCGTCCGTACAAGTGGAAATAATTGGTTACCGGGACGTTTGGTCCGTCTACCAGAGAGTTTTTATTGTCCCATGACATGTTGTCGGTATTTGGGGTTAATCATTAACGGCGCTACCATAGTCGACACTTGTTCCATGTTTCGTTTTAAGGCGTCTCGAGCCGAAGTACTCATCGAGTCGGCGCTATCGCAAATAAGTATCTTGAGAAAATCCGAATTGAGCGGGATCATCACGCGAATGTCGTCGGCGATCGTCCAGCGACATCTCGACAGGAACATGCGCAGAGCGGTATTAGAAACAAACTGGCCTCGTTGTAAGTGTTTGTAGGCCACGTCGCATTCGAAAACCTTGAGAAGCTCGTTTTCCAGGAATTTCTTGTTAATTATGGTTATTTCAGTCTCGTCCTCGATGTACATTTTGACGAACATCTTGAGGAAATCGGCCAACACGCGTTGATCGATCTCGCAGACGGACAGGGCGGCCATCGACTGTCGTGTGCCGTCGGCGTCGCGAACCGTATGCAAAGCGGTCGACATGGACGTGCACCAACTCATTATGGAGGCGGCCACGCTCGGCGGAATGTGGTGCTCTAGATAATGCACGTCGTGCATCCAAGACAGATAGTGATTAAAGAACATGCCGTCGTACAAGTAAACTTCGTCGTTCTTGTACGAATGGCACACGCGCGTGTGGTAAAACAAGTTCATGGCCATGCGAAAGAGCGAACTATTGGCGTAAGCGGCCACTTCGCGCTCGTCCGGCGTGGGGATGCCGTTGGTGACCTTGAGACAGTACAACATGGCTCCGAAAGTCTCCGGATCCATCATTTCAAAGTTTATGCACTGGAAAAAAAGCCATAAGTTGCGCGGCGACACGCTGCAGGCCTGGGCGAAAAAACGGTCCAATTCGGAGGAACCGCCCTGCGTCGAACGGTGTAGTTCCACGAATCGTTTGTCGGTCCGACTGCTGCTCATGCATTGTTGCACGACGTGCGCTATGTTAAGAACGCCTACTGTCGTTTGCACCGCGTTACTGTTTTGCAGCGCGTTAAAGTACTTGTTTCGTTTGATCACGGGCACCGTGTCGAAAGTACGCTGTATCATGTCGTTGTGATCCTTTAGAGTGGTCGACACGGACGGATCGAGAATGGCCGCGTCGTCAGCTTCGTTCGTTTCCATTGGCATAACCGTGCGCAGAGTCATAAAATCCGTATCGCAACGCCCCAAAGCGGCGTCTTCGGCGTCCAGACGATTACAATCGTCAACGAGCATCGTGATGACGTCGAAAACCGTGCTGTTGTTGGAAAAGCGCACCTTCATCGCCTGATAAACCGGTTCGTTGACGCGAACGTTTCCGTTCATGTGCGCGTGAAGAAGCAGACCGTTAGTTACGTCGAGCCAGTTGTGCGCGCTGGCAGCTTGTACCGTGACGACGGGGCTGCAGCGCGCGCGGCGCAAAGCGTAATTGCACAAAGACACCTGCGAAGCCAACAGTATCTTTTTGGGGAGTATAGAATCGTTGACGACTTCGACTACCTGTCGTTTGCATTCGTCGACCACTTTGTCTATGTTCACGAGGAGAGCACGTAGCATGGCAGTCGCGAACGAATTGACGTACGGTTTGAGTTTGCGTATGACGCGCTGGACGTTGGACGAAGGCGACGTGCGTCTCGTTATCGTGATTCCGTTGCGCAAAAACTCGAGGCCGGCCACGGCGCTAAAGAGACTGCCGTCAGACAGATATTGGGCGTTGGTCGGCACCGCGTCCATCTCCAAAAGCAGGAGAGAGGCCGACTCGAAAATAGAGTAGGCGACCTTACTTATCACATCTTCGTTATCGAGCGTCGTAGTCATTTCCTGCAAAATATCCAGGAGGCGGTGGGAGGAGTAGCCAAGGAGGGTGTTGACGTTGGAGGCGGTGTCTCTGTCGTAGACGACCTCGTTGGTCTTGGAGTAGGCGGTCTCGGGAGGATCCGCGTTATAGACGGCTGCCAATAAAACAGACGCGTCCGTATAACTTATGGTCTTGCCGAGCGTACCCTCCGTCACTTTAGTCGCGAAACCAGTCAGGATAGACATTTTATTTTATCATGGAAGACATCGTGAACCGATTCTTTAGCTTTAGACAGTGGAAGCAACCCGTCGTTTCGGCGCGCGCCATGGCTTTAGCCGGTTTCTGCCGCTTGTCCGACAAAGCGTCCACCTGCACGTCGTGCGGCTTCGTCCTCGACGACTCCATGCTGAAAAAAAACGACGGTGGAGGCGACTACCCGTTCCAAGTTCACGCCAGTCAACGCCCGCAATGCCGGTACGTGCGCAATTTCACGGACCCGCGACTCGAGGAACTGAAGTACCTCGAAGGGTGTGCCGCGACCGTTGTGCAACACACCATGCCGTCGGTGCCCGTCTACAAGAATCCCATTAAACGACTCGAGAGTTTTCGTTCCACACCAGCCGTAGAACGCTGGTGGAGCGATCGAATGGAGCAAGACTTGGTGACTGCGGGCTTCTACTACGCTGGAAACATCGCTAAAGTGGGTGAATGTAAATGTTTCCACTGTAACGTGACAGTGCTCGGCTGGCACTCGACGGATGATCCTTGGGAAATACACGCCAAGTTTTCTCCCAAGTGCGAATTCTTGCGTCTTCACAAGACACCTGACTACATCTACTCGATCGCCAAGTCGTACGTGACTTCCGAGATGTACTGGGCGATGCAGCTGAAAGAGATCCGCCACCTGTTGTCGTCGCCGCAACACCGTCTCGCGACTATGAACTTGCTTCGTTTGAACGTGAACCTGTCTAACCCCGACAACGTCTACGACATGATCAAGCACGTCACCCTGGACAAGCCATGTCCGCATCTCTTCGAGGCTAGAGACCGCAGTTCCAATTTCGTGATCGTAGATTTGGGCCGAGACACGGTCGACAGCATATGCGATACGTTCGACTCTGCCCAGCGTTATCAGCCACAAGCCGTAAAGGAAGAAGAAGACAACGAGCAACAACAACAGTCGCTGAGCATCGCATGCAAGTTGGCACCAGCAACCATAGCGTCTTTACCACGTGCACACTGCGTTCTCTGTTTCGATTGTATTTGCACTCGACAGCAATGTTTCGTGTGTAAAAAATACATTCGCAAAGTTTTGCGCATCTATTATGGTTGAGTGAATAAAAAGCAATATATCGATACTCTCGTTTCTTTTTCTCTCCCTCTCTTACTCGGGCCGACCGATAAGATTGAGGATAAAAAGACGCTCGTCGACTGGACACGACGTGTCAGAACGCAATGCAGAACGTAAAGAAACGGTTCCTAACGTACAAATCGTACCCCACGGAGTGGGTTCCCGATCCGCGCGAACTGGCTCTCGCCGGATTCAAAGCTTGCGTGTTTGGATTTCCCAGATGTATGGAGTGTGACTGCGAGTACAAGTTGCTGCGTAAAGAAGGACCGATGGAACAACATAGGCTATTTTCACCCACCTGCTCGATCATCGTCGCCGCTAGTAGGGAGAACGACATTAGGGACTGTGACTACTTCACCGTGGATAACTACCAACACTACTACTCCAATCCGGTGCACCGAATGGAGTCTTTCGAAAGGTACTTGTGGCCCGATATGCCTTCGATACAACGCTTCGTCGACGCCGGACTATACGCCATCAACGGCGTCTTGGCTGGCTGTTTCGTCTGCCATTGCAAGCTCTACGCGTTTCACCATTACGACGATCCTCTGGTGGACCACGTGCAGCATTCTCCCAAGTGCGCTTACTTGAACGCGACGCTCGACAAAAGACGCATCGACGCCATATACAACGATTTTCTCAAGAGCGAACTGTACTTCGGGATGCATTTCCTCGACGTCGTCGATTACTCGAAACTGACCGCCGTGACCTATCTGTTGGGAACGAACCAGATCAAACTACGTCATCCCAAGGACTTGAAAGTTCTCCACAATCCACCACCAGTGCAACACGTCCGCGTGCCGGATTACGCAGAGTACGAAATGCAAGAGTTTGTGCTCGAAAACGACGCTACGGCATGTAAAATATGTTACTCGAATCAAGCGTCTGTAATCGCGCTGCCGTGTGGACACTGCGTGACGTGTAACCAATGCGCACTGCGACACCCCAGGTGTTGTATATGTAGAAAGACCGTAAGTGCAATCATCAAACGAACGCTTTATTAATCGTAAAAGATGATTGCCAACGTGGTGAATTGGATCACCTCGTCACTCGACGGCATTCAGTGCAACCCCATGATTCCCGCTAAAACCACGGCCCAACGAGTCAAGGTCTATTGCCAAAAATCGGGCATGAACTTTCTCGGACGTAAAGCAATCGTCCAGCCGATTCTTTTGACGCATTTTGACGGATCTAATAACCATTGGAGGTTGTCGTTTAACCTTTTCAATGGTTACACGAAGCCTCATTTTCACCCTTATCAGTTTCAATTGGAACAGGGGACCCGAATAACTCTGGCACGGAGCGTATTCGTAAAGTATTTTTTTTTACCGGCACTACAATCTCGGGACGTGCAACAGGCACTCAAGGACTCGCTTAATTACACCCCCACCGACCTGCTAAATAGGGCCGTCGATTATGTCATGGACGCCCTATGGGTTTTAACAAACCATCAACAATTCGTGTCGAACGTTGGAATTTGGGATGGCGTGGCTCGTCTTGTGCGTCGCACGCACAAGACTTGCGATAACGCTCAAGTCAGAGCGTTACAAATTTACCCGAAAGTAATCGAAAACCCTCAGGTGTACGCGAACGTAAGCACTCCACTCGAAGAGTCTGCAGTCCAGGATATTCTTAGTAAAGTGTTTTTTTCAAAATTGAACTTTACGAATCCGACGAGTGTGTCTGTGCATGAGTCGTCGTTTTTTTTCTACTTTTTATTTGCTGTAATGAACAACAACAAGGGCATCCACTGTACTTTCGTAATCGAATGTGCGAACAAAAGGGTATTGAAAGCCTTTTATCAGTGCATTCGACAGATCACCAACCCCTTTAACACGAAGATGAACGGAACGATTCGTCTTTTCGTGTTAAAGCATAATTTGTACGAAGTCAACGACGGTTGCTTCTACAAACTAGACAACTACGACAACATGCGTTCTCGTTCCACAGATGGCGTCGTTACCACGATTTGTTTTGTCAACGTATCGAATTACACTCAATTAACGGAAGTTAACAAGAGTAGGAGTTCGAAAAAAATGTTCATCGTGCACTTCTGCAATTTCTTTGGTAACGGCGAGGACGAGGACTTCGCGAGTAAATACCTGGACCGTCAGACGTTTTCGAAATTTTTCGGAGCACTTCTTAATTGGTACAAAAAATCAGGCGCATACGACGTGGAGTTTGAGATGAATAGGTGGGCTAACCAGAGTCTACACGTCATCGCAAACTCCACCCAATTTTTTATTGCAATCGTACCCGGCGTGTCGGTGGCGGATACTAAAAAACGAAAGCAATTGGAAGAAGAAAGCGAGTCCGACGAAATTCGACGCAAAATTATTCGGCTGGACGAGGGAAATCCATGGGGTCGAGACTCGCAAGAAAAAGAACAAGATACTCCCGTCCTAGACGAATTACCCGAAGCCGACGTTTTAGCACCATCATCGCCGCGACACCAGCGGACGGAATGTGTCGTATTACCACCATCGCCGCGAAACCAGCAGACTGAATATGTCGTGTCACCAACATCGCCATTAAACTATCAGATGGAGTGTGTCGTGCCACCAGCATCGCCATTAGACCATCAGACGGAGTGTGTCGTGCCACCAGCATCGCCACGTATCGAGCAGACTGAAGGTGACGTGCCACCACCATCGCCATTAAACCATCAGACGGAGTGTGTCCCAGCATCACAGACTGAATTTAACGTGCCACCACCATCGCCATTAAACGATCAGACGGAGTGTGTCGTGCCACCAGCATCGCCTGTCCAGCAGACTGAAGGTGACGTGTCGCGAGACCTGGAGAGTGACGTACCACCAGCATCGCCACGAGAACAACAAGAGCAGGAAAATGACGTGTCCCAAGCATCACCTATGTGGGAAAGTGACACGTGGACGGATAGTGACGTACAAGACTGACTCTGAACGTGGTGAAGCAATCGACGACATCTACGTACCGGACACTCTAGATCCAGTTCTCGAAACACTACTAATTCCGTTGAGAAACAGCCCTTCGCCCGAAATGCCAGTATTGTGTGGAGATGACGTGGATGACGTATTAAATACACCGCACGTGAGCTATAGTAGCAGTAGTCGTAGTACTAGCGACAGCGATAACGACGCTACTTTCACCAGGGGGCACGACCGGTCTGCTAGCGATGATAGTTCGTCCTAACCTATATAAAAAGACTTCATTCATGCATGCTACTTCAACAGCATCGGCAGCGAGAGGACCCGCGCCGTCTGGTACGCGTCGGACGATTGTTGGCTAGCAGACCGCGCCCGACCAAAGTGCGAAGAAACAATCATGTCCGAACCGTCGCCGTCTCTTCCGAACAACGACGTCAAAAAGAACTGTCTGTTTAAAGACGACGACGACGACGACGAGACCGTCGTGTGCCTGTGCTCAAATTGTGATAGGTGTGACGACGACGACTACAGAGAAGAGACGCCGACTGATTCGGACTTGGACTTTATAAATGACGGCGTCATCTCCATTCACACGGCAACCTCTTCTTCCAGTGACGAGGAAGACGACGATGACGACAGCGTCAAGTGTGTCTACGTGAACCGGCGTCGTGGACGAATTATAACGAGCGACGACGAAGATGACGACAGCGTCAAGTGTGTCTACGTGAAACGAAGTCGTCGACGAATTATAACGAGCGACGACGAAGAAGACGAAGAAGCATCTACGCCAAAGAAAATTCTAGTCGACGGAACTAGTAGTGAAAAATAAAAAAATATTTATTATTACAATCCAAACTTGCCTTTCATTCTGGCCCAAAGGCCTAGCGGATCGCGCACACCAGCGTCGATTCGTAAAGCGTACCCTCCGTCACTTTAGTCGCGAAACCAGTCAGGATAGACATTTTATTTTATCATGGAAGACATCGTGAACCGATTCTTTAGCTTTAGACAGTGGAAGCAACCCGTCGTTTCGGCGCGCGCCATGGCTTTAGCCGGTTTCTGCCGCTTGTCCGACAAACCGTACACCTGCACGTCGTGCGGCTTCGTCCTCGACGACTCCATGCTGAAAAAATACGACGGTGGAGGCGACTACCCGTTCCAAGTTCACGCCAGTCAACGCCCGCAATGCCGGTACGTGCGCAATTTCACGGACCCGCGACTCGAGGAACTGAAGTACCTCGAAGGGTGTGCCGCGACCGTTGTGCAACACATCATGCCGTCGGTGCCCGTCTACAAGAATCCCATTAAACGACTCGAGAGTTTTCGTTCCACACCAGTCGTAGAACGCTGGTGGAGCGATCGAATGGAGCAAGACTTGGTGACTGCGGGCTTCTACTACGCTGGAAACATCGCTAAAGTGGGTGAATGTAAATGTTTCCACTGTAACGTGACAGTGCTCGGCTGGCACTCGACGGATGATCCTTGGGAAATACACGCCAAGTTTTCTCCCAAGTGCGAATTCTTGCGTCTTCACAAGACACCTGACTACATCTACTCGATCGCCAAGTCGTACGTGACTTCCGAGATGTACTGGGCGATGCAGCTGAAAGAGATCCGCCACCTGTTGTCGTCGCCGCAACACCGTCTCGCGACTATGAACTTGCTTCGTTTGAACGTGAACCTGTCTAACCCCGACAACGTCTACGACATGATCAAGCACGTCATCCTGGACAAGCCATGTCCGCATCTCTTCGAGGCTAGAGACCGCAGTTCCAATTTCGTGATCGTAGATTTCGGCCGAGACACGGTCGACAGCATATGCGATACGTTCGACTCTGCCCAGCGTTATCAGCCACAAGCCGTAAAGGAAGAAGAAGAAGACAACGAGCAACAACAACAGTCGCTGTGCATCGCATGCAAGTTGGCACCAGCAACCATAGCGTCTTTACCATGTGCACACTGCGTTCTCTGTTTCGATTGTATTTGCACTCGACAGCAATGTTTCGTGTGTAAAAAATACATTCGCAAAGTTTTGCGCATCTATTATGGTTGAGTGAATAAAAAGCACTATATCGATACTCTCGTTTCTTTCTTTTTCTCTCCCTCTCTTACTCGGGCCGGCCGATAAGATTGAGGATAAAAAGACGCTCGTCGACTGGACACGACGTGTCAGAACGCGATGCAGAACGTAAAGAAACGGTTCCTAACGTACAAATCGTACCCCACAGAGTGGGTTCCCGATCCGCGCGAACTGGCTCTCGCCGGATTCGAAGCTTGCGTGTTTGGATTTCCCAGATGTATCGAGTGTGACTGCGAGTACAAGTTGCTGCGTAAAGAAGGACCAATGGAACAACATAGGCTATTTTCACCCACCTGCTCGATCATCGTCGCCGCTAGTAGGGAGAACGACATTAGGGACTGTGACTACTTCACCGTGGATAACTACCAACACTACTACTCCAATCCGGTGCACCGAATGGAGTCTTTCGAAAGGTACTTGTGGCCCGATATGCCTTCGATACAACGCTTCGTCGACGCCGGACTATACGCCATCAACGGCGTCGTGGCTGGCTGTTTCGTCTGCCATTGCAAGCTCTACGCATTTCACCATTACGACGATCCTCTGGAGGACCACGTGCGGCATTCTCCCAAGTGCGCTTACTTGAACGCGACGCTCGACAAAAGACGCATCGACGCCATATACAACGATTTTCTCAAGAGCGAACTGTACTTCGGGATGTATTTCCTCGACGTCGTCGATTACTCGAAACTGACCGCCGTGACCTATCTGTTGGGAACGAACCAGATCAAACTACGTCATCCCAAGGACTTGAAAGTTCTCCACAATCCACCACCAGTGCAACACGTCCGCGTGCCGGATTACGCAGAGTACGAAATGCAAGAGTTTGTGCTCGAAAACGACGCTACGGCATGTAAAATATGTTACTCGAATCAAGCGCCTGTAATCGCGCTGCCGTGTGGACACTGCGTGACGTGTAACCAATGCGCACTGCGACACCCCAGGTGTTGTATATGTAGAAAGACCGTAAGTGCAATCATCAAACGAACGCTTTATTAATCGTAAAAGATGATTGCCGACGTGGTGAATTGGATCACCTCGTCACTCGACGGCATTCAGTGCAACCCCATGATTCCCGCTAAAACCACGGCCCAACGAGTCAAGGTCTATTGCCAAAAATCGGGCATGAACTTTCTCGGACGTAAAGCAATCGTCCAGCCGATTCTTTTGACGCATTTTGACGGATCTAATAACCATTGGAGGTTGTCGTTTAACCTTTTCAATGGTTACACGAAGCCTCATTTTCACCCTTATCAGTTTCAATTGGAACAGGGGACCCGAATAACTGGCACGGAGCGTATTCGTAAAGTATTTTTTTTTACCGGCACTACAATCTCGGGACGTGCAACAGGCACTCAAGGACTCGCTTAATTACACCCCCACCGACCTGCTAAATAGGGCCGTCGATTATGTCATGGACGCCCTATGGGTTTTAACAAACCATCAACAATTCGTGTCGAACGTTGGAATTTGGGATGGCGTGGCTCGTCTTGTGCGTCGCACGCACAAGACTTGCGATAACGCTCAAGTCAGAGCGTTACAAATTTACCCGAAAGTAATCGAAAACCCTCAGGTGTACGCGAACGTAAGCACTCCACTCGAAGAGTCTGCAGTCCAGGATATTCTTAGTAAAGTGTTTTTTTCAAAATTGAACTTTACGAATCCGACGAGTGTGTCTGTGCACGAGTCGTCGTTTTTTTTCTACTTTTTATTTGCTGTAATGAACAACAACAAGGGCATCCACTGTACTTTCGTAATCGAATGTGTGAACAAAAGGGTATTGAAAGCCTTTTATCAGTGCATTCGACAGATCACCAACCCCTTTAACACGAAGATGAACGGAACGATTCGTCTTTTCGTGTTAAAGCATAATTTGTACGAAGTCAACGACGGTTGCTTCTACAAACTAGATAACTACGACAACATGCGTTCTCGTTCCACAGACGGCGTCGTTACCACGATTTGTTTTGTCAACGTATCGAATTACACTCAATTAACGGAAGTTAAGAAGAGTAGGAGTTCGAAAAAAATGTTCATCGTGCACTTGTGCAATTTCTTTGGTAACGGCGAGGACGAGGACTTCGCGAGTAAATACCTGGACCGTCAGACGTTTTCGAAATTTTTCGGAGCACTTCTTAATTGGTACAAAAAATCAGGCGCATACGACGTGGAGTTTGAGATGAATAGGTGGGCTAACCAGAGTCTACACGTCATCGCAAACTCCACCCAATTTTTTATTGCAATCGTACCCGGCGTGTCGGTGGCGGATACTAAAAAACGAAAGCAATTGGAAGAAGAAAGCGAGTCCGACGAAATTCGACGCAAAATTATTCGGCTGGACGAGGGAAATCCATGGGGTCGAGACGCGCAAGAAAAAGAACAAGATACTCCCGTCCTAGACGAATTACCCGAAGCCGACGTTTTAGCACCATCATCGCCGCGACACCAGCGGACGGAATGTGTCGTATTACCACCATCGCCGCGAAACCAGCAGACTGAATATGTCGTGTCACCAACATCGCCATTAAACTATCAGATGGAGTGTGTCGTGCCACCAGCATCGCCATTAGACCATCAGACGGAGTGTGTCGTGCCACCAGCATCGCCACGTATCCAGCAGACTGAAGGTGACGTGCCACCACCATCGCCATTAAACCATCAGACGGAGTGTGTCCCAGCATCACAGACTGAATTTAACGTGCCACCACCATCGCCATTAAACGATCAGACGGAGTGTGTCGTGCCACCAGCATCGCCTGTCCAGCAGACTGAAGGTGACGTGTCGCGAGACCTGGAGAGTGACGTACCACCAGCATCGCCACGAGAACAACAAGAGCAGGAAAATGACGTGTCCCAAGCATCACCTATGTGGGAAAGTGACACGTGGACGGATAGTGACGTACAAGACTCTGACTCTGAACGTGGTGAAGCAATCGACGACATCTACGTACCGGACACTCTAGATCCAGTTCTCGAAACACTACTAATTCCGTTGAGAAACAGCCCTTCGCCCGAAATGCCAGTATTGTGTGGAGATGACGTGGATGACGTATTAAATACACCGCACGTGAGCTATAGTAGCAGTAGTCGTAGTACTAGCGACAGCGATAACGACGCTACTTTCACCAGGGGGCACGACCGGTCTGCTAGCGATGATAGTTCGTCCTAACCTATATAAAAAGACTTCATTCATGCTACTTCAACAGCATCGGCAGCGAGAGGACCCGCGCCGTCTGGTACGCGTCGGACGATTGTTGGCTAGCAGACCGCGCCTGACCAAAGTGCGAAGAAACAATCATGTCCGAACCGTCGCCGTCTCTTCCGAACAACGTCAAAAAGAACTGTCTGTTTAAAGACGACGACGACGACGACGAGACCGTCGTGTGCCTGTGCTCAAATTGTGATAGGTGTGACGACGCCGACTGATTCGGACTTGGACTTTATAAATGACGGCGTCATCTCCATTCACACGGCAACCTCTTCTTCCAGTGACGAGGAAGACGACGATGACGACAGCGTCAAGTGTGTCTACGTGAACCGGCGTCGTGGACGAATTATAACGAGCGACGACGAAGATGACGACAGCGTCAAGTGTGTCTACGTGAAACGAAGTCGTCGACGAATTATAACGAGCGACGACGAAGAAGACGAAGAAGCATCTACGCCAAAGAAAATTCTAGTCGACGGAACTAGTAGTGAAAAATAAAAAAATATTTATTATTACAATCCAAACTTGCCTTTCATTCTGGCCCAAAGGCCTAGCGGATCGCGCACACCAGCGTCGATTCGTAAAGCGTACCCTCCGTCACTTTAGTCGCGAAACCAGTCAGGATAGACATTTTATTTTATCATGGAAGACATCGTGAACCGATTCTTTAGCTTTAGACAGTGGAAGCAACCCGTCGTTTCGGCGCGCGCCATGGCTTTAGCCGGTTTTTGCCGCTTGTCCGACAAACCGTACACCTGCACGTCGTGCGGCTTCGTCCTCGACGACTCCATGCTGAAAAAATACGACGGTGGAGGCGACTACCCGTTCCAAGTTCACGCCAGTCAACGCCCGCAATGCCGGTACGTGCGCAATTTCACGGACCCGCGACTCGAGGAACTGAAGTACCTCGAAGGGTGTGCCGCGACCGTTGTGCAACACATCATGCCGTCGGTGCCCGTCTACAAGAATCCCATTAAACGACTCGAGAGTTTTCGTTCCACACCAGTCGTAGAACGCTGGTGGAGCGATCGAATGGAGCAAGACTTGGTGACTGCGGGCTTCTACTACGCTGGAAACATCGCTAAAGTGGGTGAATGTAAATGTTTCCACTGTAACGTGACAGTGCTCGGCTGGCACTCGACGGATGATCCTTGGGAAATACACGCCAAGTTTTCTCCCAAGTGCGAATTCTTGCGTCTTCACAAGACACCTGACTACATCTACTCGATCGCCAAGTCGTACGTGACTTCCGAGATGTACTGGGCGATGCAGCTGAAAGAGATCCGCCACCTGTTGTCGTCGCCGCAACACCGTCTCGCGACTATGAACTTGCTTCGTTTGAACGTGAACCTGTCTAACCCCGACAACGTCTACGACATGATCAAGCACGTCATCCTGGACAAGCCATGTCCGCATCTCTTCGAGGCTAGAGACCGCAGTTCCAATTTCGTGATCGTAGATTTCGGCCGAGACACGGTCGACAGCATATGCGATACGTTCGACTCTGCCCAGCGTTATCAGCCACAAGCCGTAAAGGAAGAAGAAGAAGACAACGAGCAACAACAACAGTCGCTGTGCATCGCATGCAAGTTGGCACCAGCAACCATAGCGTCTTTACCATGTGCACACTGCGTTCTCTGTTTCGATTGTATTTGCACTCGACAGCAATGTTTCGTGTGTAAAAAATACATTCGCAAAGTTTTGCGCATCTATTATGGTTGAGTGAATAAAAAGCACTATATCGATACTCTCGTTTCTTTCTTTTTCTCTCCCTCTCTTACTCGGGCCGGCCGATAAGATTGAGGATAAAAAGACGCTCGTCGACTGGACAAGACGTGTCAGAACGCGATGCAGAACGTAAAGAAACGGTTCCTAACGTACAAATCGTACCCCACGGAGTGGGTTCCCGATCCGCGCGAACTGGCTCTCGCCGGATTCGAAGCTTGCGTGTTTGGATTTCCCAGATGTATCGAGTGTGACTGCGAGTACAAGTTGCTGCGTAAAGAAGGACCAATGGAACAACATAGGCTATTTTCACCCACCTGCTCGATCATCGTCGCCGCTAGTAGGGAGAACGACATTAGGGACTGTGACTACTTCACCGTGGATAACTACCAACACTACTACTCCAATCCGGTGCACCGAATGGAGTCTTTCGAAAGGTACTTGTGGCCCGATATGCCTTCGATACAACGCTTCGTCGACGCCGGACTATACGCCATCAACGGCGTCGTGGCTGGCTGTTTCGTCTGCCATTGCAAGCTCTACGCGTTTCACCATTACGACGATCCTCTGGTGGACCACGTGCGGCATTCTCCCAAGTGCGCTTACTTGAACGCGACGCTCGACAAAAGACGCATCGACGCCATATACAACGATTTTCTCAAGAGCGAACTGTACTTCGGGATGTATTTCCTCGACGTCGTCGATTACTCGAAACTGACCGCCGTGACCTATCTGTTGGGAACGAACCAGATCAAACTACGTCATCCCAAGGACTTGAAAGTTCTCCACAATCCACCACCAGTGCAACACGTCCGCGTGCCGGATTACGCAGAGTACGAAATGCAAGAGTTTGTGCTCGAAAACGACGCTACGGCATGTAAAATATGTTACTCGAATCAAGCGTCTGTAATCCCGCTGCTGTGTGGACACTGCGTGACGTGTAACCAATGCGCACTGCGACACCCCAGGTGTTGTATATGTAGAAAGACCGTAAGTGCAATCATCAAACGAACGCTTTATTAATCGTAAAAGATGATTGCCGACGTGGTGAATTGGATCACCTCGTCACTCGACGGCATTCAGTGCAACCCCATGATTCCCGCTAAAACCACGGCCCAACGAGTCAAGGTCTATTGCCAAAAATCGGGCATGAACTTTCTCGGACGTAAAGCAATCGTCCAGCCGATTCTTTTGACGCATTTTGACGGATCTAATAACCATTGGAGGTTGTCGTTTAACCTTTTCAATGGTTACACGAAGCCTCATTTTCACCCTTATCAGTTTCAATTGGAACAGGGGACCCGAATAACTCTGGCACGGAGCGTATTCGTAAAGTATTTTTTTTTTACCGGCACTACAATCTCGGGACGTGCAACAGGCACTCAAGGACTCGCTTAATCACACCCCCACCGACCTGCTAAATAGGGCCGTCGATTATTTCATGGACGCCCTACGGGTTTTAACAAACCATCAACAATTCGTGTCGAACGTTGGAATTTGGGATGGCGTGGCTCGTCTTGTGCGTCGCACGCACAAGACTTGCGATAACGCTCAAGTCAGAGCGTTACAAATTTACCCGAAAGTAATCGAAAACCCTCAGGTGTACGCGAACGTAAGCACTCCACTCGAAGAGTCTGCAGTCCAGGATATTCTTAGTAAAGTGTTTTTTTCAAAATTGAACTTTACGAATCCGACGAGTGTGTCTGTGCACGAGTCGTCGTTTTTTTTCTACTTTTTTTTTGCTGTAATGAACAACAACAAGGGCATCCACTGTACTTTCGTAATCGAATGTGCGAACAAAAGGGTATTGAAAGCCTTTTATCAGTGCATTCGACAGATCACCAACCCCTTTAACACGAAGATGAACGGAACGATTCGTCTTTTCGTGTTAAAGCATAATTTGTACGAAGTCAACGACGGTTGCTTCTACAAACTAGACAACTACGACAACATGCGTTCTCGTTCCACAGACGGCGTCGTTACCACGATTTGTTTTGTCAACGTATCGAATTACACTCAATTAACGGAAGTTAACAAGAGTAGGAGTTCGAAAAAAATGTTCATCGTGCACTTCTGCAATTTCTTTGGTAACGGCGAGGACGAGGACTTCGCGAGTAAATACCTGGACCGTCAGACGTTTTCGAAATTTTTCGGAGCACTTCTTAATTGGTACAAAAAATCAGGCGCATACGACGTGGAGTTTGAGATGAATAGGTGGGCTAACCAGTCTACACGTCATCGCAAACTCCACCCAATTTTTTATTGCAATCGTACCCGGCGTGTCGGTGGCAGATACTATAAAACGAAAGAAATTGGAAGAAGAAAGCGAGTCCGACGAAATTCGACGCAAAATTATTCGGCTGGACGAGGGAAATCCATGGGGTCGAGACGCGCAAGAAAAAGAACAAGATACTCCCGTCCTAGACGAATTACCCGAAGCCGACGTTTTAGCACCATCATCGCCGCGACACCAGCGGACGGAATGTGTCGTATTACAACCATCGCCGCGAAACCAGCAGACTGAATATGTCGTGTCACCAACATCGCCATTAAACTATCAGATGGAGTGTGTCGTGCCACCAGCATCGCCATTAGACCATCAGACGGAGTGTGTCGTGCCACCAGCATCGCCACGTATCCAGCAGACTGAAGGTGACGTGCCACCACCATCGCCATTAAACCATCAGACGGAGTGTGTCCCAGCATCACAGACTGAATTTAACGTGCCACCACCATCGCCATTAAACGATCAGACGGAGTGTGTCGTGCCACCAGCATCGCCTGTCCAGCAGACTGAAGGTGACGTGTCGCGAGACCAGGAGAGTGACATACCACCAGCATCGCCACGAGAACAACAAGAGCAGGAAAATGACGTGTCCCAAGCATCACCTATGTGGGAAAGTGACACGTGGACGGATAGTGACGTACAAGACTCTGACTCTGAACGTGGTGAAGCAATCGACGACATCTACGTACCGAACACTCTAGATCCAGTTCTCGAAACACTACTAATTCCGTTGAGAAACAGCCCTTCGCCCGAAATGCCAGTATTGTGTGGAGATGACGTGGATGACGTATTAAATACACCGCACGTGAGCTATAGTAGCAGTAGTCGTAGTACTAGCGACAGCGATAACGACGCTACTTTCACCAGGGGGCACGACCGGTCTGCTAGCGATGATAGTTCGTCCTAACCTATATAAAAAGACTTCATTCATGCTACTTCAACAGCATCGGCAGCGAGAGGACCCGCGCCGTCTGGTACGCGTCGGACGATTGTTGGCTAGCAGACCGCGCCCGACCAACGTGCGAAGAAACAATCATGTCCGAACCGTCGCCGTCTCTTCCGAACAACGACGTCAAAAAGAACTGTCTGTTTAAAGACGACGACGACGACGACGAGACCGCCGTGTGCCTGTGCTCAAATTGTGATAGGTGTGACGACGACGACTACAGAGAAGAGACGCCGACTGATTCGGACTTGGACTTTATTAATGACGGCGTCATCTCCACTCACACGGCAACCTCTTCTTCCAGTGACGAGGAAGACGACGATGACGACAGCGTCAAGTGTGTCTACGTGAACCGACGTCGTGGACGAATTATAACGAGCGACGACGAAGATGACGACAGCGTCAAGTGTGTCTACGTGAAACGAAGTCGTCGACGAATTATAACGAGCGACGACGAAGAAGACGAAGAAGCATCTACGCCAAAGAAAATTCTAGTCGACGGAACTAGTAGTGAAAAATAAAAAAATATTTATTATTACAATCCAAACTTGCCTTTCATTCTGGCCCAAAGGCCTAGCGGATCGCGCACACCAGCGTCGATTCGTAAAGCGTACCCTCCGTCACTTTAGTCGCGAAACCAGTCAGGATAGACATTTTATTTTATCATGGAAGACATCGTGAACCGATTCTTTAGCTTTAGACAGTGGAAGCAACCCGTCGTTTCGGCGCGCGCCATGGCTTTAGCCGGTTTCTGCCGCTTGTCCGACAAAGCGTCCACCTGCACGTCGTACGGCTTCGTCCTCGACGACTCCATGCTGAAAAAATACGACGGTGGAGGCGACTACCCGTTCCAAGTTCACGCCAGTCAACGCCCGCAATGCCGGTACGTGCGCAATTTCACGGACCCGCGACTCGAGGAACTGAAGTACCTCGAAGGGTGTGCCGCGACCGTTGTGCAACACACCATGCCGTCGGTGCCCGTCTACAAGAATCCCATTAAACGACTCGAGAGTTTTCGTTCCACACCAGTCGTAGAACGCTGGTGGAGCGATCGAATGGAGCAAGACTTGGTGACTGCGGGCTTCTACTACGCTGGAAACATCGCTAAAGTGGGTGAATGTAAATGTTTCCACTGTAACGTGACAGTGCTCGGCTGGCACTCGACGGATGATCCTTGGGAAATACACGCCAAGTTTTCTCCCAAGTGCGAATTCTTGCGTCTTCACAAGACACCTGACTACATCTACTCGATCGCCAAGTCGTACGTGACTTCCGAGATGTACTGGGCGATGCAGCTGAAAGAGATCCGCCACCTGTTGTCGTCGCCGCAACACCGTCTCGCGACTATGAACTTGCTTCGTTTGAACGTGAACCTGTCTAACCCCGACAATGTCTACGACATGATCAAGCACGTCATCCTGGACAAGCCATGTCCGCATCTCTTCGAGGCTAGAGACCGCAGTTCCAATTTCGTGATCGTAGATTTGGGCCGAGACACGGCCGACAGCATATGCGATACGTTCGACTCTGCCCAGCGTTATCAGCCACAAGCCGTAAAGGAAGAAGAAGACAACGAGCAACAACAACAGTCGCTGTGCATCGCATGCAAGTTGGCACCAGCAACCATAGCGTCTTTACCATGTGCACACTGCGTTCTCTGTTTCGATTGTATTTGCACTCGACAGCAATGTTTCGTGTGTAAAAAATACATTCGCAAAGTTTTGCGCATCTATTATGGTTGAGTGAATAAAAAGCACTATATCG